TTTTTTTTTTTTTTTTTGGAAAGAAACATCACTGGGCTGGCTAAGGATGAAAGTTCTCCTCCCTGGTACTGTTGCCTGCTATTTAATCTGGCACCGATCGGCAAAATTATGATGAAAACCAAGACTCTAGGACACATAATGGTCCCTAAGATGACTTAGCACCCTTCTATGACGTGAGCTGGGAGGACAGAAGACGAGCGAGCGATGTTTCAAAGGAGGATGTTATTAAGTGAATAAATCAACAAATGAATGAACCACCAGGTCCATTTGTGAAGCACAGACTGCAGCCTCCGTTGCTTAAAAGCCAGTGTGCGTCACCTTCTTCGTCTGTCCCACAGCCACCCCTCTTCCTGGCCAACCATCTCACGGGGTTGTACGTTTGGTTCCAAGGAGAAAAAAGCAAGAGAGTGTCTCTGGAACAATCTAATTCAGCACCAGTCCCAGTAAGGGAAAATTTCCTGTGGGGGGACGCTCGCTGGCTACCTTCTCACAGTGATGTACTCAGGTGCATCACTGCTAACAAGTCACTTTACCAGGATTATTTACTCTACACTGACTCGTAGTCTCAAGTAACAGGAAAGGGCAATTTGTCACATTACAACCTGAACCGCAAGATTTCCACTCAATTTCAAGGAAGGCAAATGTGGAATTTCCAGAAATGGGTCAGAATTCTTTTTCTGGTGAAATAGCAAGGCCAAGGCTTGAAAAATATGCCCATGGAAACGACAATATAAAAGTAGGAGATGCACCACATGGCTGAGATCTTCTCCGCCCTTAAGTTGTCTAAAAAAAAAAAATAAAAATAATAAACCCTGCTTTTCCCTACAGCCTACTCCCCAGACACCCTGTCTTCAAACGTCCTCTTTGGCAGGTTCTTAAAAGGGGAAAACTGCACCTAAAACTTTCTCTGTACCATATTCATATAATTAAATGTCAAGAAAAAAAAACCCTCAAAATCTAATCATTTATAGATCACCACGAAGAGTGTAACGTGTCAAATGTGTCCCTCGGGGACTTTAGCACGCAGGCCATATATTCTATAAGAGTGCTTCTCTTCCCAGACAAAAAGGAAGAGGGCCCAAAGGGTACGCGCTTAAATTAAAGCAACAAAAAACAAACCGAGACACGTAAGGCATTACATCGATGCGATCAAAACATTTAAATGGATGTGTTCATTTTCTACACAAGCCAGCAATTCGAATTCGTGCCTCACTCTGCTTACGTCCTAGAATTTGTTGTTAATTACGCATCATTTCCGATTCGCTGCGTTTTCCTTCCCAGGTGGTCTGAGGTGTGGGACTCTCAAAATCATTTCAGCCGTGATTCCCGGCGCTTAACTAGCCCGACTCTAATTGTTTCAGTAGACTCCAATTTCCTACATGTAATAAAAGAATTTGCAGCACAGATTTTTTTTTTCTGCACAATACGGCAATTGATTCGATTGTTTTTCTGCCCCTTGATTGAGTGCTCCCAGCAATTCCAGATGCACTGGTCTTCACAAATGAATTGATATCAAGTAATACTCCACAGAAATAAATAGAAACATAGCTCTCCCTGTCTTCATTATTGAGGCCCATGAGCTAGTGCCTTTGATTCCGTCTTATTCATTTCCTCTACTTATTCCATTTCAGCGATTCTGTTTACTCAATCCTCATACTTGGATTTAATTTAATGCTTCCAATGTAAAAACGGTTATTCGTAATAACCTGGCATTCCTTACGTCCATCTGACAAGACCCGCTTGCTTTCCTTAAAAATTTCTGGAGATCACTAAATACCTCTTGGGAAATCTGACCTCCCAGAAGTGTTCTGCGGCAAAAGCAAGAAGGCGGTTTCAAAAACATGTATGCTTTTTTTTTTTTTTTTTTTGGATTTAGGTGATTATTGTTCAAAATTGGAACACGGTCATTCTGATTTAAAGACACAGCTCCCTTTGTCCTGCCGAATGAAGGGAGGCCAGCTAAAAAAGGCGAGGTCAATTTATAAAGCTAAGTTTAATTTATATTCTTAATAATAATCCAAATAATTCTCCGAAGCGAGACTGCCTAAGCTACTGGGTACTAGCCATTGGGCAATAACACCCCAAGTTAAGAGGCAGGTCTGGTCCCTAGCACTAACTACTGAAAGCAAACGGGAAAGAAGGAACGGGGGGTGGGGGGGGGAAATAGACGTGCATGAAAAACTGTGGGGAGTGACAAAATGCATAGGATTAAATTTCGTAAATTAAATCCCTTGCTGCAAGGCTTAAATGAGCCCCCCCCCCCGCAAAAAAACCAGATCCACCAGCTCAATAATTATATAATGCATTCTCCAATTATCTCAGAATTTTACATGTATATTTCAAGGAAGTCAACATTTGTCTTATAAATTTCAAATTAAATCTGAAGGAACACTAGAGTGACAAGCGGGCAGAAACATTTCTGTCAACTTCGTGTGTGTGTGTGTGTGTGTGTGTGTGTACGCGCGCGTGCACCTAGAATGACAATGGGCCAGCAAACTGGAAAATGACAAAGGTGATACTTGAGTGGGTTTTGACTTGGGTGCAGCTGGCATATGAACTTGTTCGTCTACACTAAGATCAGTAGCTAAGCCATCCTCCAAATCAGCATTTATGGCGGGTCACAGAGCGATCACAACCCCCGGGGGTGCTGGCCAAACACCTGACCTGGCCGGTATTCTCACTCGAGCCCGTACTATACGTGTGACGAGACCTCGTGTTAACCTGGCACTTGTGAACTGCCTCTGCAGCCAGTGTCTGTCAATTTTGGCAATTTTTAGAGTTCCTCCAGGAATAATCTTTTGCTTCTAGTTTTGTCTCTAAAACCATAGCTAACTAACGAGTTTTCACATACAGTCAGTCGATGTAGTGCAGCCTGCAGATTTGGTATTAAATAGTATGTAACTGACGTAAAGTGTCAGCAGTCCATGAAGACTCAACGAGGGGGAGAAACACGGTTGTGTAGTAAGGATTTTGTATTGGGTGCACGCTCCTCGCTTGCTTTTGCGGAGAAAAAAAAGAAACGTATGTTTTTGCGGAGGCCGTGATGGTTTTATTAATGGCTTATCAATGGTTAATTTGGTTTCTCAATATGGCAAACCCAGTATGAACAAAAAGCGTGCACTAGATGAAGTCATCTATTCTCGGAGAAACGTTGCTATAAACTCCGAGAGACTTCCTCACAACAACGCTGTTACGTTATCATGCCCCCCCGAACTTCATCTCCAGTCGTCACGGAAATGAATCTTTTACTTTTATCTCCATTCCTCAAGCTTCATAAATACTCCCAAGAGCTTCTCTGATGGCTGTTTGGTCCTCCTATAAATTAAAAATATATACGAGACCAGGCACGGCTTTTATTTGTTTTGTTGGTGAGGGCGGGTAGGTTTCATGCAGGGATTGAATCAAACTACCAATTTTAAAATCAAAATGCTCCATACCTAATGCCACTGAGTGACGCGGTGAAGAACGGCTGCAATGGCACATTTCACGTGGTGCCTATTTTATCTCAACTTTGAAATTTACTTCAAAAATGAAACTGCTCCGTTTAGGGTACGTCGTCTATTAAAGTGCCCTTTACAGAAGCAGTTCCATAGAAATTATAAACAGGCAGCCTGTAGCCAAGCCTGCTGTCAGACAGAGAGTTCAACCGACATATCCATAAGGACAACAGAGTTGTGCTCTCGCCCTGGAAAATCACTACTGCTTAGCGAGTGTCGGTGGACCCAGGGCCACGGGAGATAACCTGAGTGTGAAGACTGGTGATACGAGAGCCACCGCAGGTGTAGAATGGGGTATCCTTCAGGGGAGCCTGTAAGTTTGGGTGAGGGAGACAGGTGAACGCATCTCACCGCATTGTAATTTAACGGTGGCTGAGCTGACGCCATGGGGTCTCACGCCTGACATCAGTTTCCATCTAGCAAAAGACAGATTAATTTTAGCTCCTGTTTTCTGCCATTTTCTTACCGCAGAACACTTGTTTCTCTCGAAAAGCCCTTCCCTGTGTCAACATCGTGATGACATTCCCCTTAAGGGGACAAGACCTTTCCCGGTTCCCCTCCGCCCCTTTCCATCAGCACTAGGCGACAGAGCTGACGTCTCCTCTCTGAAGCTCCAACTGTCAAGGGTTATTACGTGTCACAGTCAGGAAAGAACAATCATATTCAGTAAGAAAATCAGAAAATGTCCCAAATCACTACGGCATCAGCGGAACCCAAGCATATTTAGTACGCGTGCCCCTCCGGTTCGTCCTCGGCATGAGCAGAAATCAACGCGTTTCATGTCCCCGCACTATCACATGCAGAACGTGGGACCTAAGTTATGACTCATTCGATTAATGAAAAAGACAAAAAGACCGTTTCCCCCATCCAGCTACCCAGGGTGACAAACTGCGGACATCCTTCTGGGAAATCCCATATGGGGCAGGAAGATCTGGAACACGAATGGGCAGAAGAAAGGCTGCTCTATGAATTTAACCTCAGCCTGGAGGACAAAAAAAAAAAAAAAAAACCAAAAAACAAACCCACCCGAAAGCAAGACCATGCCAGAGGGATTGTTTCGGAACTATTGTACAAGAGACCCAAAACCGGGCTACCCCTCTCCAAGCACCCCCAGTGAAAAGCTTGAAACCGGCTATTGTCGGAGCGCTGGGTACCTTTTCTCTCTTGGCTTTGTTCAGTATTTTCCTCGGCTGCAGTTTCCATGGCTGGCTTCATACCATCCACCAAAAATGCTTTTCCCCGCTCCCCCGACACACACTCTTCCCCTCCTCTTCCTTTTCTCCTGGACTCCCCCTCCGCCTCTTATTTACACCGCGTGATTGAGAGGCTCTGTTCTCACTACAGTGGATTACAGTCCCTTCCAAGATGCAAGGGACGCGTCAGCGGCAGCTTCCCTCTGCCTACTGGTCCAGAGCCACAGCTGCCAAGGAGCCGGCGGCCACACGTCAGCGAGGATCCCAGTTATAACGCGGCCGTCCCGCGCCCCGGCCCGTCCCACTGCGGCTCCGGGGGACAGCCGCGCCCCCGCCCCCCGCCCGCGCCCCCCAGCCGCCGGCCAACTGCACGCGCTGAATGCTAATCAGCTCTCCCAGGGCAGAAGAACACATTTGTGACATCAGAGGACGGGATGCGGAGGAGAAGGGAGAGAGCCCCCTCCCACCATGTGACTCAGCGGGGTCGGGACGTGTGCTCTCTTGGGAGAACGCGGGCCTTCCACCGCAAAGTCCTTCCTGGGGGCGGGGGGGGGGGGACCCCTTTATGGAGCATCACAGTTTGAGTCAAGTTCATTTACCCCGACCCCGGCAGAATACACTCAGAGGACTAGCCCATGGTCTCTATTTTACTTGCTTTCTTTCCTATTTGTCTTCCATGCAGTCTCTAGCTAGCTAGCTAGATTTGCAAAATATATATAATAATATTAATATATGATACAATTATGTATTACATATATTACAGTATATATATATATATATATATTAAAGACAGAAAAATACATCAGAGGGAAGAAAATCAGAAACGTGGATTTGACAATAGCTGTATGCAATTTGAAATTAGAATTCTAATCTGTTCTCTGTCTGTAACTAACATACGAGGCAGTAAGAGACACGTTAGCTCATGCCCAATTCATAACAAGGTTTCCTTCCCTCCATATTTAAAAGCCTAACATGCTACAAGCCTATCTGGCTGACATTCTGGTGGCTTCTTGGAATGAAAATGGAAATACAATGGTTTTTCTTACTGGACGTGATTATTTCTACATAGAGCTGTATTCATTAGAACCTCTCCCTCAAAGTCAAAAGGGTGTTTTCAAGAGCATTCTAAATGTTCGGCATAAAGGCTATTATTGTGCCAATAATGACTGACTGCCGGTTTCACAAGCCTTCTTACGTACCCAGATACTATGGGACCACAGTTCTCAGCCCATCCAAGCATATAAAAGCCTTTATCACGGTCATAAGCCGTATGTTTCCAAGCATCGCTGGTCTCTGTACCACGATTTAAACATTTGATTGACCCACTTACGTTCACCGTCTCTATTAAAGATCTTTCTAGAAGCTCAAGTCAACTAGAGGGATGAATACTGAAAACCACAGGGTGAAGGCTTCCCTGACCGAGAAGAGCCTGACAGTTGGTTGGGTTGAGCACCCACCTTAGAAGCAAACTTAAAGCCAAATCAGAGGCCATTGTCTCCGGGGGAAAAAAAAAAAAAATCTCTTCCCAGGTTTGATGCTTTGTCGCTCAATACTTAAGAAAAAAACGTGTAAGATCCTGAATGGAAATCCTCCCACACCCTGATCTTTCAATGCCTTAGTTTTAGATAATCCCCAAAGCCTTCTACATTCAATACCCCTGGCCCTCCTCCCCCTCCTCCCCCTGTGAGCCAGAAAAGATGTTGAAAACCAGTTTGGCCTGTTCCAACATTTTTTTTTTTTTTTCCAACGTTTATTTATTTTGGGGACAGAGAGAGACAGAGCATGAATGGGGGAGGGGCAGAGAGAGAGGGAGACACAGAATCGGCATGCGAGAATTCTACCACTGAACCACCAATGCCCGGTGAGACACAGAATCGGAAACAGGCTCCAGGCTCCGAGCCATCAGCCCAGAGCCTGACGCGGGGCTCGAACTCACGGACCGCGAGATCGTGACCTGGCTGAAGTCAGACGCTTAACCGACTGCGCCACCCAGGCGCCCCTCCAACATTTTCTTTTAATTTTACTTCTCATTTTTCACGTTAACCATCCTCCTAGAAGTCCACACCCACAATCAACCATGCCTTTAAATTATGGCCCCAGACAATTTTATTGTCTCATGGCGAGAGAAGCGAGAAGCACGGCAGCCTACAATTTCAGACCTTCAAAAAGAGATTCATTTGCGATGCAACTGCCTCCGTGGGAAAACATGATGATACGTCCGAACAGGACAGTCTTAAACATTTTTGCAAAGACTACTTGTGTGCACTCAGACCAAACGATGGAAACTTTTGTGACAGGCCTGTTCTCCCTTGGCAGTTTGAGAAGGAAAACCAAAACAAATGTCAATTCAGCACCAGAGCGGACGATCGTAGTTAGCTCTGGTATTGGTTTTATTTAAAAATTATCTAGTGAAACCATTCAATTAGAGAACTGGCAGAATAGAATACTTTTTTGACTATTACTTAAGAATATTATTTTTAGGGACACCTGGGTGGCTCAGTCAGTTGAGCGTCTGACTTCAGCTCAGGTCGTGATCGCGCGGTTCGTGGGTTCGAGCCCCGTGTCGGGCTCTGCGCTGACAGCTCAGGGCCTGGAGCCTGCCTCGGATTCTGTGTCTTCCTCTCTCTGCCCTCCCCTACTCGCACGTGCTCTCTCTCTCAAAAATAAACAAACATAAAAAAAAAAGAATATTATTTTCAAATGTTGTTAAAGTAGGAAGGCAGAATATGGAAGATGCTCTGCATTAAATACGGAAGACTTTTTAAATTTAAGTACAACTCTGGTTCTGTATCATAGTCCTAGAAAACAAAACCATCGGACAAAATAGTCACAAATTCTCCAGCTGACACCTCCATCTACTTTCACCTTGAAAAACTATATGCAAATGAGAAATGCACCATTTCTGCCTTATTCACAACTTCACCGCTTCCTTTTCGTCAGGCTGATGACGTAGGACGATTCTAGAAGTTACCTTTGTAACTTTATATGAAGCCTCAAAATCTCTCTGAGGTCTATGAAAAACCATTTGAATTGGAAAAAAGCGGGATAGAAAAATGATCAACAGCAAGAGAGAAGAGCATACATTTCTAACATTTCTGAGGCAATTGTGGCCGGTTAGGCGAGCACCTTCTACGCGCTCACCCCTGCGGGGAGCACAGACTTTGCAGGAGACGGTGCCGGTCTCCAGGTAACCCGCAGACTAAGGGGCCACAGTGAACCCTCGTAAACTGGGCGATCCCCCGCAAGCCCTCCAGGATCACAACACGGAAGATGAGAGGCGGGAAAGAGAAGTTGGGGAAAGCTGTGCGCGGAGCTGAGCTACTCCTGCCCTTTGGATGGGAAGTGCCAGGTAGGGGAGGGTAGGGAAGCGTGGAGAAGGGAAGGAGAGTGGGAAAGGGCAGGGCAGGGTAGAGAAAGGGAAGGTAGAACAGGGAAGGGGAGGGCATCCCAGGAAAACCTGGAAAGCACACAAAAAGGAAAAGGGATGGCCCATGGGGGGGGGGGGGGGAGCTGATTTTTCTGACTGAGGGTCCAGAGCACAGGGTGTGTGTGTGTGTGTGTGTGTGTGTGTGTGTGTGTGTGTGTGTGTGTTGGGGGTGGTGAGGGGCGGGAGGGAGAGGAAGGGACGGGGCTGGGGATCAGGGGGGCTGAACAGACCACCTTGCTAATCCTGGAGGCAGCAGGTGGGGAGGGAAGGCTTGCAAACAGAGGTCATCCGTGCTTTACAAAGGTCATGGGGTCCGTGATGTAAAAGACAGAGGGGCAGGGCGGGGCCGTAAAAGACAGAGGGGCAGGGCGGGGCCGGCAAACTAATGAGGAATCTCCCAGCAAGAGATCGGAGGGTCCAAACTAAGGCCAGGGGAGGAGGGGAGGATCCTGAGGACATCTCCCTGGATACTTAATGCCTCCCGGGGATGGAAAAGGAGAAGAGGAGTGTGCAGTCTCCAGCCTGGATGAACGAAGAGATGGTCGCGGGATGAGCCAAAATGGGGACCCAACGAGGAGGAGGAAGACGTCTGGCAAGGAGACGAGCCCGGATGGTTTGGGGTACGCGGGGACACCCTGGGGGAGCTGTCCGGAAACATGGCTCCAAAGGAGAGGGGCTGACCAGAGACTTGGGAGTACAAGGCCACAGCTCTGCTCAAATGCCACCTTCTCGGGGACTGTCCCTGACTTTCTTGTGAGAGTAACCCTGACGGGCCCAGTCCCCTTACCTGGGTTAGATGTTCATGACCCAACACCGATCCATCCAGGCATTTCCCTGCGGACTGTCTGTCTTCCCCCTACAATAGAAGCCCCGCACGGACAAGTGTTGTCTGTTTTGCTCTCTGCTGTGTACTACCAGCTCCTAGAACGGTCCCCGGCACGCAGGAGGCCCTCAACCTGTAAATGAATGGTGAACAAGGGGCCAGGGAGGACACAGACCAGACGTACTCTGAGATCAGACTTTAAGGGGCGCAGTCTCTTAAAAATAAAGGGACAGGGAAAACTTTAAAGGGAGGGTGAAAGAGGCTAAGGAGGAAAAATGAGAAAAGCTGGGGAACAAGGCCAAAGCACAAGTCGAGCAGAAGACGCTCCACGGGGGCCTAACGTGCGCGTCGCGGGTCGTCCAACACGGTAGAAGGAACAAAGAGGGGGAGGGCTGACAAGCGGAAAGTAACCTTTACTACCAAGTCGTCGCTGGAACTCCCTCAAGAAGAGTTCTGGGTGAAGGATGGTGTGGGAGCAAGACACCTCGGGCGCCTCCACCATCGTCACTCAGAATAGGACCCCCCTCTGCCTCTCTGTCTTGGGCCAGCTTCCCACTTGTCAAGAGAATTTTGACTGTTCGTCTGCGATCCGTTCCAGGAATATCTTCCCGGGCTTTATTTTGTTACTGACGACTCTGGCCGCCAGTTCCGCTGCGTGTGTGTACGTGTGGGGTTCCCCACACCAGCAAGCAGCTCCCCGACACCAACAGGAGGTCTTACGAGTCAGCTCATTTCTGACACTGTGTGCCCAGGGCGTGGCATCAGGTCACCT